CTGACGCTGTCCTGCTCCCCACTACCTCAGGCCCCAGCCGTCCTGGGGTGAAGAGTCTACATCTGGATAAGACCTCACAACCACACTTAACAGTTCTAAAAAGGCACTGAGTTAGAGTATTTAAAATGAAAAATTCTGGAAAGGAAATTTTGCACAGAAAAAAAGCCCTCTTGGTTTCCCAATAGTATCTAACAGCAGCTTAAATAAAGTGCAGTACACAGCTTCCTCTCCACGCTGCAACTCACTCGGAGCACACACAGCAGTGATGCAGAGAGTGTTCCAGTAACCAAGATGCTCACCTTGTCACTGCGACTCGAAGAGTGGTGGTGCCCTGCTGTCCCAACCCATACGTAACCACCACTAAGTGCACCCTGGCCATGTGACATGGCTTCATGATACAGAGAGCTGACCGGCTGTCAGAGACTGGTCGAGGTGCTCTATCCTTATTTTCTCATTTAAGCCTTACTATGGAGGGACGCATTACATGACAGTACTGCTCTGCTATTTTCCACAAAGAAAACACAGCCACGTCACTTGCATGGTGCTCAGAAGCCAGCCCATGGCAGAGCTCAGGTTTTTAGCAGTCTGCTTGTTGCTGGTGTGTGTCACCAAGACATGTCTGTGCCTGTGGGTCACAAATCTCCTGTCATAAGAATTTTAGGAGACAGACCAGCCATGTGGCAGAGAGCTCATTTCAAGGCAATGATTTTAATTTTGCATGTTTCCATCACACGAACGCTGGAGAGATCCCTAGGTCAGCAGTGCAAAGACGAACTAGGTAAATATTCTGTTATATAAGGGGGGCGAGTATTCTATAGTACAGTGGGTTCTGACTGCCTGGACAAGCTGTGTCACCTCAGGCAAGTTATGTAACCTCTCTGTGCAGCCACTTCCTCACGCACACATTGGGAAAAATTGATTCCGACCCCCAGAAATATCCCTCTCCACGACCACTGGAATGCACACCCCACGAACGTACAAACTTTGCTCAGCTCAACGCTGACGCCCCTGCATGTAGAGCGGTGCTTGGCATTCGACAAATGCAGTGAAATTAAGTGACAGTCAACTCCTTGAAATCGGGGTATTTTCTCTTTGCCTTTTCAGTTGCTGCTATACCACCAGCACCCAGGCCAGTGCCTGGCACAAAGTGGGCACTCAGCAAATGTTTATTGAATGAATAAGTAAAGGAGCCTACAGGACTCCCATCTGTCTGCCTAGATTGTGTCTTGCATTTGGATCCATGGCCTCTCCCACCTTCCACAAGGATCATGGAGTGGAACCCCCTCAGGGCCTGCAGGCAGCTGCTGCCTCAGCCCTGAAGGGAATGACTTTGTCCTCTCCCTTTTGTGACTAGCAACTCATGTTCCAATCACAGCTCCATTTTCCTTGTAATGAAAATATGGAAGATAATTAATGGGGAGAAACTAATGAAGTAGGAAGCTGGTGACACAGAAGTTAAGGCACTTACATAGTAGTCAATGGTGTTGCAATGGTTCTCCTTGTTTTATGGCCCCGCAAACTCCAGGCAGACCACAGCTTCCCAAAGAACACACGCAAAAGTGTGGCAAGGCAGGGATAATCTGAAAATTCACGAGGACCATGAGCTGGCCCCTGCTTCTGTCCCAGCGTGAGCGTCACTGCACTAATGGGTGGAGAGAACCCAGGTGACCGTAGAAAAGGAGGGAAAAGGTCTGGAAAGGACAGAATCAGTAAAAATGAGGAAAAGCAGTATTTCTAAAGTACCTTCCACAGACCACTTCCACGAGATGCTGAGAACTGTAAAAAAGAGATCCTTAGGTTTCTTGACTGCAAGACTTACGAGAAGCTACAAAACATTAAATGTATTTCCCATCTCCAACACTGGGGTTTCACATACAGCCTTTTCTGCTTCTCTGGCCAAAGAGCCCTTATTTTTCAGAACATCTTCCAAGACTGGTGTTCTGTATAGTACTCATTGGAAATCCCAGAGTAGGATAATAAGGCACAAAATAAGGACAAAAAAAGCAAGGACAAAATATGTTGGGGGATTAACAAACGGTAATAACTAGTTTATTCATCTCAGCATATTAAAAATGAGATGACTTTGGGCCATTTAACTCATTTGTTATAACTTCCCATTGTTCTGGAAGTACAGATACAATCATAAAATTAAATTGGTTCATAGACAATAATTAAACCATTTATCGTACTAACAAGAACAGCATGGTAAATTTCCGACTAAAAGGTGTTGTAGTTTTTTAATCAACAGCAGCTACTGCCACAAGCTTAGAATCGCCTCTGTCCACTGCGGCCGGAGGAGCAGGAAAACACAAGCTATTAAGAATCTTTTGGTACATGTCGAAGGGAAAGCTCGCTTTTGGAGTTCAAAGGAAAAGAAAAGCAAGCTCTCACCCTCAGAATGTTTTGTTCTTCCAGGCCAGTCAACTCCAGGGTTATGAACGGACAAAACTAAGGCAGCCTTTTCACTCTAGTTGAACACTGCCCTCTGCTGGAACGTGCAGGCAGTTTCTATGTCCAACAAGCATAGTCGAATAAAAACATTGTCTAGCAGATCTTAAAGTACACACATTATTTGGAGTTAGAGGACTCGAGTTCTGTCCAAATTATTTTGCTTATTGGTGGAAGGACTTCAGTCCAACTAGCAGCAGGTGTACTAACTTGCCTGTCCCCTAGGCCCACTGAACCCAACCTGTCTAAAACTGAGTGCAGTTTCTGTCAGGACCCTGCTTCCCGTAAGGGCTGTCCCCCCAGGGACACACCAGGAATGGCCTCTTTGCCCACCTGACGTACTGCACCTTTGGGACAGAACCCATCCATCCCCACCTCCCCAAACTCACTACACTGCCAAGATGCAGACCCCTTCTGCGTTACTTTCGGCAGCCCCGGCCCCTCCTGTCCATCCCCCACCCTCTCACGGTGACCTCCCTAGAACAACGATACAGCCTTATTTACTTCAAGCAGCTCCCCGAGCTGGGTCCAGTTCCCTGCCAGCTTGTTTTCCTGCCCCATCTCAAACTGTTGGCCCTGTACGGGCAGAAACTTATACTTTAAGTAAATATTTAGACTTCACTTTGTTCTAAATTAGTTTGAAGGTCTATTACAGGGGAATAAAAAGATACAACACATTAAGTAAAAATCACAAGTTGATTTAAAAAATGAACAAAGGGAAAGCACAGGTGAAGGCGTACGAAATCAAGGCAATGCAAAAACACATTCGGCAGCACCCTACACATCTGCAATTGGCTGGCCAGAAATTTACCTCCAACTTTTTATCAGCCAACTAGAAGCAAGAAACCTGATCAGTTCTGGTTACAGTAGTCCAGCAAGCCAAATGCTCAGAAGCAGCTAGCATTCCTCACATGGGACCAGAAGAGGTTTTCCCTACAGATCTTCAAAAGAGAGTGTGAAGTTGCTCACAACCTCCTTGGGCAGACATGGCGAGCTGTAGCTCCCTCAGCACAACCAGCAGGTCGCTCACAGGAGAGGACAGTGGGGGCGTCCCCACGGGGGCCCAGGCGCGTGTGGCTTGGGTGGGAAGCTCAGCCGGTCACTTCGCCCAGGACCGTGTACAACGTGGGGGCGGCCATTCAGGCTTCCAACAACTCGCCACAAATCTTCTCTCTCCAGAGAGAGAGATTAAGAATGACTTCTTAATAAACACGGAACAAAGAGTTTACGATTATACTACCTGTGGCTAATTGCAAGAAGAGTCAAAGGTATTAACCAGCTGTCCACCAGCTGGTGGCTTCGGGACAAAGATCCGGTCCTGTTGTTTCTCCCAACCCCAGCATCATCCACCATGGTGGCTCTCAGCCCACCAGACTGTTGCCCCTTCACATTAACAGACCTTGTGTGATGCTCTCTCCACTCTCCGGGATCTACGGAGATGAGGTACCTACTTCCAAATACATATAACCCTGTCCTTACATATACTTTCAAAAATAAAAACAATACTCTAATGTATAAAGCAAAAGGAAACTGATAAAAGATAATATGTATTTCAATATATAAAACCTTTGTCAAACTACCCTAGGAGACATAATGATGTCAGGTTCTTGGAACTACTGTGTTTTAGAAAACAAACAAACACAAGTCAGAATCCATTCTGCACAACAACTACAGGACCCTTCGAGGACAGAAGCGAGAATGCTCCCTAGGATCAAACTTGTGTTCATTACAAGGACTTGCTAACGGATCAGACTTATTTGTGTCTGTAGAGAGGAAAGAACCTGAACAGCAGTAGACAGAGCATGCCCAGATACTCCAGTGACCTGGGAAAACTAAGAAAGTGCTGTGTCCCAGCAAATGAGCCAGCTGTCATGTGCAAGTGTGGCATCATCGTGACTCTGTGTGTTGCGACGTGGGAGAGAATGATGACAATGTGTCACAGAAGTTATACCTCCTGTCAGGGCTCCCACCTCCAGCAGATTTGTACCTTCAGGCTCTGAAGCTCCCTCAGGACTGTGAACCACTGTGCAGGGACCCTACGGAACATCCCAAAGCCCCCCCCCCTTTCCTCTACAGGCCAGGGGTGTCCCCCGCAACCCTTGTGACAACAAAAGCACGCTCACCACCTCCATCTTCTTGAGGAGCCACCAGGCCAGCACAGAGCAGGGGCTCCACAATGGAGAAACAAACTAAGGAGGGAGCGAGTAATGAAGGACGGAATGGGGTGAAGAAACTGAACTTGAAACTGAGAGGAACAGTCTGTGTCGGGAGGGTGCCCTGGAGATCAGGAGCCAGGGAGGACCTGGCCCAGGACCTGGCCAACAGGTCTCAGTGAATGCTAATCAAAATCACAGAAAGTGGAAAACAATATTTCACCTGACCCTGCCAGAGGACCCACGTGGTGTCCCCCAACCCTGATCTTGCCTCTGCCCCGCTCTGTTCCGGCTCTGCTGCACCGTGCACTTCAACCCCAGTCCATGCACTTTGACCCAGTGCACTCGTGAGTCCTGTGCACTTTCTGGATTCCCCGAGTAGAGAAGGGGCACGCCTACCTTCTTCAGGCTCTGCCGCACTGGAGGGCATATCTAGTCTTCCCGCTGGCCTGGTTTCTTGCGCTTCAAGAGTCTAAAGAAGAAAAAAAAATCACTGAATATCATTTGAGGCTTCAAATATGCAACAAAGAGATGAAAACCACATTCAAGGACCTCGGAGCTGAGACAGGCCAGAAGTATGGCCTGGGGAAGTTGGAAAAGATAGGCAGCACCCCAGAAAGATGGTGAGAGATGTTGGGGGAACCTGAAGGCAAGGGCCGAAACTGTCCCTGGGGACCCCCTGCCCTAATGCAGGGGGTCCCAACCCCTTGTTAGGAACTGGGCCCTGACTGACGCTTACCTGAGCTCTCCGCCTCCTGTCTCCTCCACCCTGCCCCCTGCCCCCTCCACACCCCCCACTGTCTTCCAAGAAACCAGTGCCTGGTGCCAAAAAGGGTGGAGACCACTGCCCGCTTCCACAGCTCACGACAAGGTTCTCAGGAACGAGAAACATGAACCAAAAATGGGAGACAGAAGAGAAAATCTTAAAACCAGAAAGAAGGGCCAGTTTTATGCATCTGCACACCTAGACCAACCCCTACCCACACCCCACAACACAGGGACCCTGGGGGCCCAGACAGTGGGGTAGGACCACCATCACCCAGGGGGCCCCAGAGGACCCAGGAGGAGCATGGGCCTTGGGCTGCAAGCCGACACACACAGGTGCAGGCTGTCCCTGGCTGAGACTGACTGCGAGCCTTCTTAGGGAGAGAAGCTGCCCTCTTTGGAACCCTCTGCGTGTTTTCTTTTCAAATGGATTTCCCACAGCCAGTGAAAATGTGAAGAAAAGCAGAATTATGTGCTAATGAGTGAAAGGGTAAAACGGCCCAAGACTGCGTCAGCACATGTTCCAGACTGAACACACGGGCAAACCCGGGCAGCAACCCTGCAACTGACGCAGACGCCTGAACCCCCCTGGGCGTGTGGCTAAGCTCAGTGTATCGAGAACTGAATTCTCAGCATTCTGATGAGCACTAAGCTGCTACAGGGAGAGAACTGAAACAGGACTAAAAGACACAGCTAAGGTATGCCCAGTATGGATATGTAGCACCAACCTGTCACCGTTGAACATTTAATAATCGTTGTAAATGATCAGTCCACCAGTGGCAGCTATAACAGAATGTTATAATATGAATCCGTTACACCTCTGAACAAGCTTGGCTCTGAACAGGGTTGCCCAAACGGCTCCTGGATGTGCTAATGCAAACTCAGGTTTCTGCAGCGTGGTTCGATTGCTGGTCTAGAAGGCTGCAGACCCGGAGGCTGAAGATGCCTCGTGACAATGAGGTTATGCTGTGGTCCACTGGTGATGAATTGGTTCCTCAGGCCAAGTCAGATATCAAAACAGGGTTTTAGACATCTAAGCTTTAATAAAGTGGGAATGCTACACTACAATATATAGTCTCATATTTTTTACTCCAAACTATAAAGCTTTATTGTGGATAACCTATATATCATCATCTGCTTACATTTAAAATAACAGCTAACCAAGTAAGAAGTTGAATTCGGTAATACCATCAAACATTCTGTCAAGCAGGTAGGAACTGACGCCTTTGGACGCCCTAGAGAATCTCAGCCCTGTTCCCTTTCGGTCCCCCCGCCCCCCGCAGCCATGCACCCAGTGCTGGAAAGAAAAAGGGGCGTGCTAACACCTGGAACACAAGGCCATCCCATTTCAACTGCTTCTTCTACTGACGTTTTACCATAAACACATTTTCTCAGTGTTTTTTGTGGAATGAAAATCCCCACATAACTGGAAAGCAATTTCTATTGGGTCTTCATTATTGTAAGTCTACTACAAAAGATTACTGATGCATCTACATTTACTCCTTCTAAATCTTCCCCAAGGGGAGCAGTGTTATCTCAAATGTGTTATGAAATATCATAAATCCAAACCAAGAAGTTGGAGGATTTGATGATGGAAAGTTCAATGATTTTTGCTACACCCAGAGCTCACTCCATGCTTCTCAGGAGCTTCGTCACCAGGGTCTGGGCTGCCGTCTGAGGGCCCCTTCTAAGGACACACAGGCTGCGGAGCTCTGCCCCGACCGGCAGGCACGGAGCAGGGTGCGCCCTGAGCGATGCTGCCCCACCCAGGCCGAGCCTCTGCCCAGCCGGAACAGCCGTACCTGGGGGCCTGGGTGAGAAGCCACAGAGGCGGCTGAAGGCTTAGTATCTTTTTGGTTTTTTCCCATTGCTTTTAGAGAAGAGGGGACCGAGAGAGACACCAGTGCGAGAAAGAAGCACACACTTGTTGCCTCCCACACACATCTGGACCTGAGATGTCAGGCACCCAGACCAGGACCTGCAACCTGGGTATGTGCCCTGACCTGGAATCGAACCCTCAATCCTTCTGTTACAGGATGACGCTCCAACCACTGAACCACGCTGGCCAGGAAAGTCTTTGTATCTTTAAATGACAAGTATCCTTAAGCAAAACGAGGAAACACCAGATGCCAGAAAATTAGATGCTAAATTCCCAAGAACCCAACAAAAGGAGGTAGCAGTTCATACTCTGAAGAACATGTTTCATTCTAGTTGTTTAAATAAAATCTTTTTTTTTAAAAAAGCCAACAATAACCTTTATTTTCTATACAGTGTTTGGGGCTACATCTTTAATGCTATGAAGCAAACATATTACACAAACTGTGATAAATAACAATACCAGTCTCCCAACTGTGTGCTCTGGGGGGGTCCACAGAGCCATGGGACCCGTGCCCTTGGGTCCCATGTTGAAGGGCCAGGGCCACAGGGGCTGGTGAGTGAGCCCACCACACCCCGAGTGCTCTCAACTAGGCTGACTCAGTCCTTTTACTCAAAATAACACTTTGCTTAATAATAGTAAAAGGATGTAAAGGTTCTTTACATTCTTCTAGCTTCCACGGAAAACAAAAATGATGAAGATGAAACCTTTTAAACCCTGAGATGGGCGTGCTATGGCAGCGCTCAACACTGGTGCCTGGGCCCCGGAGGGAGGAGGGGAAACTTCTGCAGAAAGGAACAGGTTTCAAGTGCCCAGGCCCCGTTCAAGAGGAATCCGCACCCTGGGGCATCTGCTTACCTACCTCTGAGCCGTAAGAAACCCACACAGAGACACAAGACACGTAAAAGAACCCTACATGCAACTGCTTTCAATAAAAATCATAATGTCATCAATAAGTTAACAGAAAATATCCGATGTTAGAATTTTAAAACCCAACACTGGCAAGGCTGGCTCATAAAAAGTAAAAGAAGCAAGCATATTATATAAACTACCATTTTCTACTACCAAAATATTACATAATAATCTTCATTCTATGGTGTGACACGGTTTCCAGTTCCGTGGCCCCCAAGCTTCTATCACAAAAACACCATCCCCCAAACAAGGAGAGCACTGTCTATGCTCCCCAGGCGTGTTCCACCGTGTGCTAGAATAACGGGGCACAAACCTTGATGAGAAAGGCTCTATCCCAAAAGTACTTCCTGAAGAGTTTGATATCTGCCTCCAACAAATGCTCGGCCGTGTGGTTCAGCGTCAGGGTCAGCGTTTCTGGCGAGTGAATGAACTGCAGGAAGGCATCTTCGCTGAGCTGCACTCGGGAGAAGCCTGGGGAACGTCTGCCCTGGAAACTGAACCGTCGCAAATCAAAACCCATGCACAGCTTCAGAAACACCAGCCCTGAAATCCCAGTACCCTCCTCACCCCTGATAATCCAACTGGCGGAACAGTCCTCAGAAGCCTTCAGACAATAAGATCATGTAAACAGGCTCTAATAGAGCCATCTTTCTTTTTCCATCTGGAGAAAACAGCGACTGAAAAGCCCTTCACCCAATTATGGATGTTAAAGATTCATACAAATAATGAAATAGCACTGACTTTTAAATCTCGTACTTTACCTCAATATTTCCTTCTCCTTTCGATCCGAAAAGGCGCCTCTCCCTTTAATGGGGCCACATGTAGCAGAACAAATTAGCAGGCAGCCACCAGTTTATTAGGTGATTACAGTGGAAAACAGACGCGATCTCCAGGGGACATGGCAAGGTTAGGATGTTACAAACAAGGGAGATATTCAAAACACACTGGCTGACTAATGCAAGTCATTTTCTCATGCAAATTAAAACCTGTGTAAATTTGATTGTGCTGTATTCTTGAATGCACTCATAAACAAAGGAGCAATATTCCCAAACTCAATTTTTTTTTAAGATTTTATTTACTTATCTTTAGAGGGGAAGGGAAGGAGAGAGGGAGAGAAATATCAACATATGGTTGCCTCTTCGTGCGTCCCCTGCTGGGAACTGGCCTGCAAGCCAAGCATGTGCCCTGACTGGGAATCAAACTGCAATCCTTTAGTTCACAGGCCTGTGCTCAACCCACTGAGCTATACCAGCCAGGGCCCAAACTCAATTCTTGAATATCAGCTTATTTACTGTTCTGTTTTGGCTAAGAGCAACCACACATTTATTAGCTATGTGTAGGCTTCATGGCTAGTATCACGATGTTCTGGAAGGCGTAGAAGGTCATGCAATAAACACAGGGGAGAAGCCTTGGGAAGAAAACGTTAGTGGCTCCCAGATGACAGCCCACCTCGAATGTGACTGTCACATCCCACCAGCTTGCTCCCGGGGTCCTCTCCGCTCAGAACGAGCGCTCAGGCTCTTTCCTCTTCAGCCAAGACCCCCTTTTGTTCATGAACACTTGCTTTATGAAAACATAGTGGGCTTCCAATCAAATAAATGTTATCTCCATCATATGAAGTGACCAAAAGGGATCTTCATGAGGGGCACTTACACTCTAAGATTTGGGGTATCTTCCTAAGCTCTTGATACTAATTATTGGTAGGAACTCCAGAATCTTTCAGGAAACAACTTCTTATTCCAATCAGAAGCCCCTGAGGCAAACGAACTCTAAGCCTGAGCAATCCAATCATTGCTATTAATTGAAAAAAGCTCTAAATTTTGCTTACAGTCTACTGCTAATCCCATCCATAAGTGAATTTATTAGATGTGCAAACTTTTAAAACACATCCTGTCCCTTGGTCCTGTACTGAGCAGAAGAAAAGCCACCGCGGATACAGAAGTCGGCCTTGCAGGATCTCAGTGTAACAACGACCAAGTCAAACCAAGTAATCCCGCCTTCCCCTTTCAGCCAAGGAAGTGGGGTCACGTCAGAGCAAAAAAAGGGGGGGGCAATTCTCTGTGCACAGGCTCTTTCCTTGGTTGGTGACCAAATGAGGGAGAAAAAAAACTCAGAAAGCTCTGACTTCTACTCCAATGTCCACTTACGTATTGTACAACCAGAAATGAATTACATGGAGTTTCCAAAGAAAAACCAGCCCATTAATACTATAATAATTCTAACAACGTTTAATATTTATATAGTATTTTGTGATTTTAATATACTCTCCCATTTATCTGGCATTTTTACCACATGTTAAGTGAAGAAAATTGCTATATATGAATCCCCCTTTTATAACTTGAGTGACAGATATAAAACCATTCCAAGTAACAGTACCTTCATTTTTCTTTAAAAGTGTGGATATCATCATCAACATAGATAACTTAATAGTTGAGTATTTATTTCTTTTAAATTATTTCACTAGATCCTGATAATCATCCATTGGCTTTCTAGTATTTTAAAATTTGTCTGTTATCCATTGATTCAACAGTGAATATTATTTTATGTTCTTTCAATAAATATTATGTGTTGAATGCTGCAGTGGGTAAAACAGAAACACTTTCAGCCCTCAATTGATTTAGGAAGGAGACATATATGAATTAGATAATCAATACATAACATTCTAAATTATGATTAATGTAGTAAATAATTTTAATCACTTTATCACAATTACTATTATGATTTAACAATCATAAAAGACCATAACACAAAAGGTCTCTCTGAAGAAGTGACATTTAGGCTGAAACCTGAAAGATAAGTTGGGGTTCAAGGTTATTATTAATTATAGCTTCCTATAAAGACTTTTGAGACTTAAACTCCTTCTCCCGAAGTATTAATGCCAAAAAATGTGACTATCTGTGTGTGTGCTATACATATATACATATATGCACATATATGTCTGTGTATACACACATATATATCTGCACTTTATTCATGAGTACTAATGGTAAAACATAAACCAATATTAGCTTGTGGTTTGGTTATTTCAATTTTTCCATCATGTTTGGCAGACTTTATAAAAGCAGATTAAGAAGGAAACTACCAAGTAGTCAAACTCACTTTGTGATGTCTTCAAGCAGCTTGGAGTGTCCACCATTTAAAGCCAAGTCTACTGGCGTGGCACCCTCTTCATTGGGCAAAGCCAAGGCCCGCACTCCCCCTGGGAGACACAGGAGGAACTGGGAAAGCTTCGGCAGGCCCCACCTCACAGCCAGGTGTAGGAGAGACTCTCTGGGAAGAGGCGCTGAAATGAAGACAAACACAGATGAGTCCCTCTGTTTACAGACTGGGTCTCATGTATTTTATCAGAGACCATGTATTAGATGTAATAAGAAGCCAGAGCTGGAAGGAACCCTCATAAGCATCTAACCCGAAGAGCCCATTTTACAGATGTAGAGAGGTCAGTGACTTATCCAAGGTCAGACAGCTGGTGGGTGCTGAGGTCAGGTCCACTCATTGCTGGTACAACATTCTTTCCACACACTGTGGTGCGTGTGTGCATCACTTACATCCCTGGAGTAACGTCATCCAGGGAAAACAAGTGCTAGGAGCAGACCACCCCATGGAAACAGACACTGTTGGGGGGGCGGGGCATGTGCTACTCCAGCCGGGCAGGCTCTCAGAGGCAACACTGGAAACAGCATCTGTCTCCGCCCTCTGTCTTTGGAGGTGCTGTCTCCTGATGAGAAACTGGGACAGAAATGGGCTTCGCATGTCCAGAACTGGAGACTATGGTTCCCCTCGAAAGTCGTCCATCCATTAGATCTGTGGGATTATTTCCGTGTTGCCAAAGCCAGCTCCCGGTTGGTCTGTGTGTCCTGGTTTCATTATGATGTTTGCTGCTGTATATCATGGTTGTTTCCTAACTGTATCATCTTACAGGTTAAGGGGGTCCTTAAGGTTTTATATTCCTAACACCCACCCTCCTGTTTGGCAAAGTGACGTCATTTGGTATTTGTGGAGATGAATGTCAATCGATTGTCAAAATCTCAGTCCTGTGTGCATGTTTAAGTTGCGTGATTTGTATAGAGTTTGTACACCTGTTTTTCCACTGCAGTGACACGGTGCCTGGAACACAGGTGGCCCATGATAAACATTACATTTGGAATGTAAAAGAATAAACTTGCCTACATTTTTTACAAAATTAGGCCTGTGAACTCCACAGACATCAAGACACACCTTCGGACAAGCCTAATCTTAACGAGCTAAACATGAACATTCTGACACTCGTGACCGGTTGGAAAAGGTGAGCTGCAACGCTCTGAGTTATGCCCACCCTGCAGGCAAGCAACGTCGTTGCTACGTGTGACATCTGAAGGAGGCCCAGACAGCACTGCAGCTCACTGGGGGGCAGGCCTCAGAGGCAGGGGTCGCTCTGTCTTTTCTCCCAGAACAGTGCCCGGCACGTCTTCTGTGCTCTATTAAATATTTGCTTATTGAATGAATGAATAAATGACCACTGGCTCTTTCCCTGGCAAGCACCCGTGGGAGTTAGCATTTAGGAACTATAGCAATTCGGATCCACAGCTGCTGCTCGGAGCATCTCTCATTCTTAGCTCTGCCTGCGATACCTCTTGACTAAACTCAGACCACAAAATACACACTCCCACACACAACTCAGACACAGAGGACAAAACCACCTACTTCTCCACACGGCTGACTGTCTGCATTAATGTGATCTTACTATCCCATTGTCCTCAGTAATACAACTTTACTATTCCATTTACTCACCCAGGCAAACGACTGACTGTCCACTGTGGGAACTGCCTTTAGGACCCACCAAAACTCTTCGACAGACAGTTTTTAAGCCCTAAAACCAGAGTGTATTATATCATGATCCATACCCACTCCTAACCAAGCTCCCCTCCCTGCCCATCACCTCTCCCCTGCATTAAAAGACTCTCATTAAACCAAAATTCAAGTTCTCAATAAATTGCACTTTTGCCTTACCCACTGGAGACACTGCTCTGTGCAGGAGGAGCTCTCCCTTACCATAGTGTGCTACGAACTCAGCAAAGAGGACCTGAAAGTACAGTCCCTTTGGACGACACCGGGCCAGAGAAAAGGGGGTGGGGGGAGTAACGACAGAGGGAGGCTTGACTTGGGGAGCTGAACACAGGATGTAACATACAAATGGTATGTTATAGAATTGTGCATCTGCAACCTATATAATTTTAGTAACCAATGTCGCCCCAAGAAGTTCAATTAAAAAATAAAATTAAAGTTCAAAAAAGAAAGAAACTGATGTCTCGTGACCAAGCAGTTCCATTCCTACATATAAAACCTGTGAGGACTGTACACCTTACGCATCAGAAAACATGCCCCAAAATGTAAAATGGTGAAAAACAGAAGTGATCGTAATGTCCACCAACAACAGAAAAACTTGTAGTAAAATCACACACTAGTATTCTAACAAAAACGAATTACAGACTCACATAGAAGAAACTAAGAAAATATAATGTTGAAGAGAGAAAGTCATAAAAGAATATACAGAATACATTTCAATTAACATGATGTTTAAAAAAGTGAAAACTAAGCCATATTATTTGTGGATACATAAGTAGTAAAACTATAAAGAAAAGCAAGGACATGGTTACCATAAAAATCAGCACAAAACTTCTGAAGAGAAAAAGGAAATGTGACTAGGGAAAGAGGAGGATGGTGGCACGCCTGCAGTTCGATGGCACCTGTGTGTCTCCTCCCATTCACTCCCAGCTCCCTTCCAAAACTCAGTGTGTTCAAGGTCCCCCCCAGCACAACTAAAACAGAACTTCCGGGGTGGGGTCCAAGCATCCATCTTTCCGGAGGATTCCCAAGTGACTCTGATGCAAAGTCAGGGTCGGGATCTCTCACCTTAACTAAGTAAGTGGTTAACAAACACTTACCTATGCTTTCTTTTTACACCTCTGTCTCCCCAATCAGCTCTTAAGATCTCTTAGGTAAAAAGCTACACAAATGAAGAAGAACAAAAAAAATGTTTGTGACTTCTGAAACTGATTTTTTAAAGAGAGAGAGGGAGAGAGACGTCAGTTTGTTGTGGAGGCACTCACTGGTTGCTTCTTGTGTGTGCCCTTAACAGAGGTCCACAACCTTGGCCTATCAGGACAACACTCTAACCAACCGAGCTACCCAGCCAGGGCTGTTTGTGACTTTTGCAAGTTTGTTTAAATTTTTTAATATTTTTTATTGTTGTTCAGTTACAGTTCTCCCGCCTTTTTCCCCATTGCTCATCCCTACCCATCCCCCCCAGTCCCACAGTCAATCCCCCCACATTGTCCATGCCCATGAGTCCTCTGTTCATGTTCCTTTTTTGCCCCTTCTCCTTCATTCCTCCATCGCCACCCTGCCCCCACCCCTCGTCACTGCCAGTTTGTTCTTTACTTCCAAGTCTCTGGTTCTGTTTGGCTTTTGCAAGTTATTTTAAATTCACATTACTTGCTGCTAAGCCAGGAGACAGCCTCAAACATTGAGCAAAATATTAAAAACTATTAACATATTTAAAATACTTTAAAAATTAAGCTAAAATATAATAGGGGCAATAATCTAGAAGCAACTGATATTTTGAAACACAAGCTCATTCAGAAGTAGTCCTATTGTGCTCTGCAGGGTTTAGGAATGTTCATAACTTCAAAGCGGAGCCACTAAAATGTTCTCAGCCTTGACCAGTGTGGCTCAGCGGGGCGGGCATCATCCCACAAAGTGGAGGGTCACTGGTTCAATTCCTGGTCAGGGCATGTGTCTGGATCGCAGGTTCGGTCCCTGACAGGGGTGTGTATGAGAGGCAACCAATCAATGTTTCTCTCCCACACCCATGTTTTTCTCCCTTTCTTTCTCCCTCTTTTCACCTTGTTCTCTAAAAATTAATAAATAAAATCTTTTAAAAAATACATTCAGCACTTGTAAGTTTATGAAGAACAATTTTTTTAATTTACATAAATCCAATTCATTACATGAAATAAGTCCCACTCTGGTTTCCAAAACCACACATTGTAACCATGAAGGGACTCTGTTTCTTAACACGACCCTTTCTCCTTTCTGTCCATCCACTTCCATCCTTCGTCATTAAGCCCTTAGGACATCAAATTTTGGTTAGTATCAAAAAATCTTGAGAACAAAGCCTCATGTTTCTGTTGATCACAGAAAGGAAATTTTGGCCAAGCTAAAGATAACATCAACCCCAGGCCCGCGACCCTACCAACCACCCTCATGAAACCAGACAGGACAATGTCATGGCTGACATGATGACCTGATACAACCAATGATCAAATAAATACTCCTTGCCCTGGCCCCAACCAATCAGTACAGCTCACAACCCCAGCTCCTTTAGCCACCGTGATGAAGGAGTTCTCCCCTATATAACCCACCTCCTGGAGGCCTTCGGGGCACTAGCTCACCTGTGACTCTGGGCTTGGCACCACTGAATTAAGCAGACCACTTAATTCTCAAGGTTTAAGTTGCCTGATCTGTAAAAGGAAAGTGAAATCTGCCCAGCCTTCCCCGTGGGATTGTCAGGAGCAATAATAAAACACTATATGAGACAGAGCCCTCAAGAACTAGGAAAGCCAGTATTGGGGGACTTATCTGTCATACACATTTGTCTGATCTTTTAATACATAAATATAACAAACAGTGGCTAAATTGATGTGTGGTGTATTTGAAAACAGATTTCCTCTGGTTATAACTTAAAAGCATAATTTAAGGGAACTAGCTGTCTGCCCAGGAGGCACGGTAATTGCATCAGTGTAAAACACCAGATGTGCCATTAAGACAAATGGGCTTCAGCCCATGCCCCAGGCAGCGGCTAGGTGCCGTCAGCAGCAATTATATCATACACCCTTTCCAGACTGTGCAGTGATTTGTTTCATTCGTTAATATTTCTTCCAGGCTATGATTTGCATCCACCATTCATGCCTGCATTAGATACTTGCTGGCAGCCTAAACGCACCAGGCATTCTCTGCTCTCCCCACACGCCACAGGCACCCTCCCATTACCCCGCCAGGAACCTTGTTCTGTTTCGGCAACAAATGAAATACAATGCAACCTAATTTCATTATTGACAAGTAGAAAAAGTGTAGACTCATCAGATCTGCAGTGGAAACGGCCCTTTGAAATCTGCAGTGTGAGTCTGGTATCAAGCACCACCAGGAAACTGGCCCCTCCCCTGCGAGCAGGCAGGTCCCCTCACTGCCTTCGCACTGAGAGCCCGGCTGCAGGTCCAAAGGCTCAGACTGAGAAATGCTAAA